TTATTTATACGCAAAAAACATAGAAACTCAACAGATAAAAACAAGACTCCCATGTTCATACCTGATTGCCAACGGGAGCATCAGGGCTGCTTCGTATCCAAACCTCAGATGWACGGCATTCAGAGTCCGCGTCCTGACTATTTCACTTACGGCGCTTGCGCAGGTTGATTCTCTGTCATATCCATCGCCTCTGACAGTCTTACTYTTTGAGATGCTTGGCAGTACCTGACATGATTGAATGTCAAGATGTCAGTATTTTTATACTCAGTGAAATTACTTTATCATGACTTAAGCTTCTTGAGTAATGTTGGCAATACCAATCGTCTCATCTTTGGAACACCTCTCGCTCATGTACTCTCTCGTTTGTTTTGCTCAGGCTAAGCTACCAAATGTTCGTAAAACATTCCCAAAAATTAACAAAACAACAATGAACTGGGAACACTTATTCTATAAATGGCAATTTATGCTTTTTTGTTTTTTCGTGTGACGCTTACAAGCAGAAAGCAAAGATGAGAGCATCTTAAGAAACAGGAAGAAGCGACGTGGTCTGTTCTTTTAAATAACTGTTCTTGCACGAATTTTTTCCTAGGAAAGGGATTTTGACTCTACATTGTTGACAATCTCACAAGCAAATATTGCGCCCTTCCTTTTTTAAAATAATTTTGTTCCTGGCAAACGTTTATAAAGTCAAAAAATCCTTATAAAACGTTTTTATGGTAACGTTTTTTCCTGGCAAAATCCTTGCCTGGAAAGTTCTTTTTTCCTGAATTTCTCGCTGGCAAACAGTTGTGATTTACAGCTGGCTGGGACATGAGAACAGATATATTTCTCCCAGGAACCCGTCGGCTCCTTATAAAGAAATCAGCTTAACACGTTGTGATTCATATATTGAAAGACATTTAAAAACTCAATCTATTAATTAATATTCGGGCTTTTATATCTTTTCAAACTTTAAAAGKCTTTTGACTAGCAAGAACACTCTTGTGTTTTGCCTTTCCCTGTTTTGAAAGCACGCATGCGCGTCGTTAATTTCTTCAAAAGTACAAACCTGGTATCTTGTCGCCAGGTCCTTGTTCCGTTGGGGTATAGAGAACCTTGCCAAATTAGGGTCCTCTGAGGCTGGCCTGGGGAAGGAGCCATTAGGGGAATAGGCTTCCCACCAACATTTCCCAGCAACACCACTGAGACTTGAACCTTCTTTCTCTATGCCAAGGGATACAGTTTCCTATTAAAAACAATAGGTACCTTATTCGTACTAAATTCTCGCGAGGCCTTAAACGCGATTTAAGAAATAATTGCTTTAATCGTTTAATTCTTTATATGAAAATTTTGATTGTAAATCGACTATTGTTAAAAAAAAAAAGGATTTTTAAGTCTGTCTGTCCACATGTTTTTACATTTTCGCGAAATTAAATGTACTAAATTTCTCATTTCTTTCAAAACCGCAAAAATTAATGTTCGAGAAATATTTGTGTTCTAAATCAAGTGCTCGCGAAAATTAGTACGAATAAGTAAAAGTAAGCTGTTTACCACAGTCAGATAAGCATATAAGTTTATCTTGTATATG